AGACCAAGGATCCTAACCCAGAGCTTATCCTTCTCCCTGGAAGGCCCGAATCAGGCCATTTTCTGCCCTATCAGCTGTCCTGTTCAGTTCACACCTGTATCTGTGACAGTGCACCCCACCAGAGCCCTGTATTTCTCTCTTCCCTAAACCCTTGAATTTACCTTTCATTTCTCTGCTTGCTGCTCTCAGTAATAGCCTCCTCCACACCCCCACTGCCCGCCCTTGTTCTGTCCTCCACCAGAACCCTGTCTCTCTGCTCTCTCCCTCTGCACCTGACAAAACCTGCTTGGTAAACCCTTCAATTTGTACAGAAGGATTCATGTGTTTACAGAATTTTGCCAGTGAATGGTTACTGTTAGATTTGTAATATATGTTAAAAAAAAAAAACACCAGAAACTTAAAACTTATGAGACCTATGTTCCTGTGCTATTTGATATTAAATACGTTTCTCTGTATTATTACTAATCCCAGCTCTAGAGGTAATAGTGACTGATTTTGGGGGGGAGGCATGTACTGCATGCCAGGCACTGTTCTAAGCACCTTTCAGTTAATTCCCATTATTTCTGCCCTCAGCATGATTATTATTACTGTCTCCAGATCTACATCACTAAACTGTGATTTTTAAAATGTATCTGTACTAGGGGCACCTAGTGGCTTAGTTGGTTAAGTGTCTGCCTTTGGCTCAGGTCATGATCTCAGGGTCCTAAGATGGAGCCCCGCATCTGGCTGCCTGCTCAGTGGGGAGCCTGCCTCTCCCTCTGCCCCTTCCCCTGCTTGTGCTCTTTCTCTTGCTCTCACTCTCAAATAAATAAAATCTTTTTATAAATACATCTATACTAGGAAATTTCACACGTATGTACATATGTATAATTAACACACTCCTATTTATGCACATAAATACATGTGTTCGCTGGTGGTTCATTTGTGGAATTAGAAAAACATACAGGACCCATGACCTAGCCTCTGCTTACTGATCCAGCCTCATTTTCTGCCTCTTTCACGTTACATTTCATGTTCTGTCTTCCCGCTAAACCTCATTCTTCCTCACAGGGTTCTGGTGAAGATTAAATACAATGTTGTAAAAAGCATTTGGGTTAGAGAAGGTTCCTGACAAATGCCAGAGCTCCCCTCCTGAGGTCTGTCTCTGCCTTAGCCAAGTCTGTCTTATTTTTTGATGAGTCCATCATCTCTGATAGATTAAGAGCTTTTCGTAATACTTTTTAAACTCTGCGTGCAATTCCAAACTCAGGAGAGTGGCTGTGTCTAGGGAGGGAAGGAGGGAAGAGATTGGGATTGGGGTAGAGAGGAAGCATTCCGTAACACTTTATTTCTTAAACTGGTTGGTGGTACATGAGTATTCTGTTAATCTAAAGATTGTGATATATGTCATCTGAAATAATGTAATTCCAAGCAAACAAAAAAATCCTCTCTCCTTATGTTTTACCAGCGACCCTTCTTTGAACACAGTTGAGCAGGCAGCTGAATTCCTTTTTTTTTCTGGCTTCCAAAAGCAGAAGAGGGGGTCAGGTCTGCTGGGATTCTCTGGGGTGAGGTGAGGCTCTTTGGCCTCAGACAGAAGATTTCCAGGGTAACTCCAGTTTATGAGGAGATCAAACACATGCATTCTGTCTGTCGTGCTGATATGGCCTTTCTTTTGTGTTTTTCTGAGCCACTTCCCTCAGTTACTTGGGCAGTAACTAGAGCTTCATTTTATCGTTTTTAATATCTCAGCCTGAAATGCTGACATCCACTGTAGGCATCATGAATTTTTGATGCAGTGGTGATCGGAAGGCTGCTGGGCCTCACTTGCTTTTCCAGGAGCACTGTGACACTTGTCTCCATCTGTGCATGGAGACTTCCTTGGGGTTCTCCCCAGTGCAGACTCAGGGTTTGTTTGTTCTAAAAGTGCCTATGGCTCCCAGGCAGGTATTGGGAGTGTATTCGAGAATGCAGTTACTTTAGATTTTCTTCGCAATTATTTCAACAATCTAGGATATTTAAGAAGGGAATGCTTCTTAAATTCCTGAAAAGGAAATCAACAAATCCAAGTCAACAAATATTTGCTGAGCCCTCCCTTCTTAAGCCCACCTCACAGAAAACTACACACACAGTGGTATCTGTTGGGTGGGGACGCAGAGATGAGCCAGAGGTAATGGTGGCAAATAAAGATCTGAACTTACACAAATATGTGATGTGGTGGAAAGTATTGCAAACGAGGTTCAGAGAATTACAAGAAGGATCATTGCCGACTAAGGGAAGGCTTTATAAAAGATATTGAGTGAAGTCTTTAGATATATGATTTTGCTAGACATGATTTTGGTATACTTACTGTTCATTTATTCATTTAGTAATACTATGCATCTCCATTTATTCGTTCAGTACATATTATGTGTCTTCTCTGGGTCTCCATACAAATCCATGCTTCCATGTCCACCACAAAGGAAGTAGGGAGTACAGGCATCTGAAATGCCGTCACATGGAAAGGGATGCACCTCAGCTCCACTCATACTTCCTTGGTCAGTGTGTGTCATGGTCCATGCCTGCTTCCTTGAAGGGTGTAGAGATATGTGGTACTGCCTTCCAGAGCCTGCAAGGATGAAGAACTTGGGTTTCTATGACACGTGCTAACATCTGCTTATAAGAGTCACAAATCTGATGCACAATTTAACAGAATCACACCAGATACTGTATTGATAGTAGACTGTAGGTAAGCAAGAGCTGCAATAGAGACTTCTGTGGGAAGCTTTTGCAGTGGTCAAGACAAGAGATGAGGTTGGATAGGACTGATAGCTAGGACCCCCGGGTGGCTCAGTGATTGAGTGTCTGCCTTTGGCTCAGGTAGTGATCCCGGGGTCCTGGGATCAAGTTCCATATTAGGTTCCCCATAAGGAGCTTGCTTCTCCCTCTGCCTATGCCTCTGCCTCTCTGTGTGCCTCTCATGAATTATTAAATAAAATCTTAAAAAACACAAACAGATAGGGCTGATCGCCCTGGGGATAGTGAGAAGTTTTCAGATTTTGGTTTCATTTTAAAGGTAAAGGCAATAGGATTTCCCAGTGGGCTGCATCTGGGGTATGAGAAAGAGAAAAGTCAGTATGACTTGGATGGGTTTTAGCCTGAACAACTACAAGAAGGTATTTGTCATTAACTGACCGAGATACAACGGTCTGTGGAAAAACAGAATAGGAGGCAGGACATTGAGGGTTTGCTTCTAGCATACTGAGATGAGAGTTATTGGGCATCCCAGTGGAGATACTGAATAGCAGTTGATATAGAAGTCTCTATTTCAGGGGTGGGATCTGGGCTGGGGCTATCAGTTTGGGAGTTGTCAGCTGATAGAAGTTACTCAAAGCCATAGACTAGATGAGATCCCAAGAAAGTGAGCATAGATAGAGAAGAAGAAAGTCCCAGGGCCCTCCAACCTGATCAGGTCAGGGAGGTAAAGATCCATCACAGACATTGGAAAGGAGCAGCCATGAGGTAGGAGGACAGTCAGAAGTATGATATCCTGGGACCCAAGCAGGTGGGAGTGGTTGTTATTTATGGAACACTCACTCTTTTTGAGAAACTTTGGACAGTTTATATCAGCTCATCAGCACCACAATCATGTAAAACAGCATTAGTCCCATTTTACAGATTGGAAATCTAAAGCTCAGAGTGAGGAAATTTACTAATGCCTCTGATGTGCCAGAGATGTTAAAAAACTAAAAAGATAGCAATAGGTGGTGAAACAAAACTTCAAACATAAATCCATCTGGTCCATCCTGTACAACTTGCACCAAGAGATTGTGAAAAAATGCTGTTTCTCAGACCAGAGCTTAGACAGAATTAAAGGAAATTGAGTTGCAGAGAAAGAAACATGTTAGAACCCATGGATGCTTCTTTTGCGTTTCAAGGTAGATTTTTTTTCTTTCTTTCTTTTTAAGATTTTATTTATTCTTAGAGTGAGTGGGAGGGAGACGGAGAGAGAATCTCAAGCAGAGTCCATATAGAGCATGACCATGAGATCACACCTGAGTCAAAATCAAGAGTTGGACGCTCAGCCAACTGAGCCACCCAAGCATCCCCTAAGATTGATCCTTTTCTTTTTTTTTCTTTTCTTTTTTATAAATTTATTTTTTATTGGTGTCCAATTTGCCAACATATAGAATAACACCCAGTGCTCATCCCATCAGGTGCTCCCCTCAGTGCCCGTCACCCAGTCACCCCCACCCCACCCCCGCCCTATCCTTTTCTTTTAAAGATTTTATTTATTTGTGAGAGAGAGTGAGCATACACGTGTGTGTGTGTGTGTGTGTGTGTGTGTGTGTGTGTGTGTGTGTGAGCAAGTTGAGGGAGAGGCAGAGAGAGGAGAAGAAACAAACTCCCCATTGAGCGGGAAGCCCAACTTGGGGCTTGATCTCAGAACCCTTCGAGATCATGACCTGAGCTGAAGGCAGACGCTTCACTAACTGAGCCACCCAGGCACCCAAGATTGACTTTTTTATGGAGAATTTTCTCCTTGTTCCCTGATAATCGTAGTTTCTTAATGGAAATACGTGTGCTTTAAAATGTGATGGGCAGCCCAGGTGGCTCAGTGGTTTAGCGCCGCCTTCAGCCCAGGATGTGATCCTGGAGACCCGGGATCGAGTCCCACATCAGGCTTCCTGCATGGAGCCTGCTTCTCTCTCTGCTGTCTCTGCCTCTTTCTCTCTCTCTGCCTCTCATGAATAAATACAATTTTTAAAAATGTGATGGTAATTTACCCCTCACCTGTGGGGGTCCATGGATTAACTGGGATATAAGTGAACTGAATGAATGTAATAGAAGGCCAAGGTGAAACCACCTTTAACAGAGTGAAGACATTCAGTGCCTCGCTGACCACCCCTGGACATGGTCAATGAATAATTGATGCAGTTTCTCTTTGCTTTCCTTTTAAGTTTCTTGTGATCAATCAGAGTTCAAAGTAACTTGTCATTGTAGCAAATAATAGCTCAGACTCCTCTCTCCTTCTTCTTTAGATCACGTACAAAATGAAGAAAACTATGCACAAGTTCTTGACAAGTTTGGAAGTAATTTTTTAAGTCGAGACAACCCAGATCTGGGCACCGCTTTTGTCAAATTTTCTACTCTTACAAAGGAACTGTCCACGCTGCTGAAAAATCTGGTAAGCCATGGCATAAGTTTCTTAAAATTACAGCCTGACCAAAGTACAATAAGAAGATAAAGGGAACAGTCTAATAATCTTTTTCCTAACCCTCCATCCTGGGGGTTAAAAACAATTAAAATTAAAAAATAAAAAAAAAAAGTCTCAGGTATGGAGTCACGTATAAAAAAAATTAAAAAATTAAAATAAAAAAAAAAATTGTAAAATTCCTAGATCCAGTTGATAGCAGGTTAGATTTATTGAATCAGAGAAAGTGGTTAACCTGAATTCTCTTCCTCACTCTACCATTGTTTTGGTTTGGGTTTTGTTTTGGATGGCTTTTAGTAACTTTTGCTTTTTAATTAGTAAAATGTGACGATGTCAGACATACACTGGAGATACACATTTCAGTGTTATGCCTCACTTGTACGAAAGACAAGCATGCATTTTGGTCCCTGCTTTAGAAGTAATAAACCTCCCCCGTTTTCATATACTTTCAACCCCCTGCCAAGGAAAAGATTTTGAGATTTGGGGAATCCATGGTTACAGAAGTTGATGACAAGAAGAATCCCTAAAAATCTGGGACATAAGAGGTGCTGACCCCAGAAAGCAGATACAGCATTTGGGGTGGGAAAATCTATTTGGCAGGTACTAGTGTCTGGATACCTGCATTCACACCCTGTGCACACTGAGAAGGTTCATTCTGGATAGTGCTACCACCCACACTTCCTTGTGCATTCAATTAATCAAGTCTCTTTTCTCCAAAGCCCCAAGTGTTAGAAGTACAGGGAGGTTGAACGGTGTCAATGAAAAACTATACCATACTTTTCTTCATCTCCTTCCTGAAGAACAGAAGCTGATTCTTCCTCTCCCCCAGTCCCTCAGTATGACACTTTGCATCCTTTAAGAACCCAAACTCAAGATGTCTTGGCCCTGGGTCAGTTACTCACTGATAGGCTCCTGTGGCCTTATAAGAGAATCTTGTTACATCGGTGTGATACAGATGGCTAGCTTACAGACGAGTACACAGAATTGGAAAAATGAAAATGACCTTTCTGTAATGTGTTAACCTGGAAATTCGACCAATCAGAATATTCTTTTTTTTTTCCTATCATACTAGATAAATACTTGGGTATGTCTTTTTTCCTGATGATTTAATTCTAATTTGTGGTTTATGCCATTGAATTAATCTCATACGGTGATAGCTAATCCTAAAGTAAAGGCAGAGAATAGAAACAGGTCTCATTTTCAAAAACTTCAGAAGGGGTACTTTTGAAGTTAGGATCAACATGTTCCTACACTTTGGGGTTTATGTGACAAATCCATGATATCCCTGTAAACCTTAGAGTATTTAAATTTCTTATATTCAGAAGAGGGTCCTCACTCTCCTTCCTCTGAGTACTGTCTGTCTTTCTGCTGATGGCATTGCTCAAAGGCTGTGTGGTGGGAAGAAAGGAAGTGAAACAGGACTCTGACTATTCACTTGGGTAATAACTGGTAACAGACTTGCTCAGGGAGGAAGTTCTGTTTTCCCCCAAAGTAGGTGTTTTCACAGGGATATCTTGCTTACCTTTAGTTCCCAGGACACCAAATGTATTTGGCTTCAGTCGAGATTCATCACTTGCACGTTTCCTGGACCAGTCCATTCCTACACTTCCCTCCACTGTAGGCCCCTTCCCCCAATGTGTGTTGGCCCCACGAGGCAATGGTCACTCAGGCAGCATTCATTGTATTTGCTTTTACCTAGTAATATATTTGCTTTTCACCATACAGAAACCACTGATGTTTATTGAACACTTGGATGGAACTGGCAACGTGCATGTATAGATTTCTTATTCAGCATCTTACAACAATATACCTTCAATCCAGATGAAAAAAATTAAGGCACATTATTATTTAACTTGTTCAGATACACTGTTAGTAAGCAGATGTGTACTCGAACATTCTGTCTCTGAGTCCATTGTCTCTACCACCCTACTCTATTATACTGCCTCTGTCACTCTACCTTGGTGGCTGTCGCCTTGGTAGTTGTGTTTCTTTAACTAGAAATGCTGATCTAGGTGGTCCCCTAGACATATCCAAGCTGCAGACCTTCTTTCCCTGTATCCTCTCCTTTAAGGGTTAGAAGTCTAAGAATAATCAAATAGAAATTGCTAGAAGGCCCAATTCATTTAATTAAAAACAAAAACATTTTTCCCTTTGAAGATCGTGGTGGCATTCCTGATGAGGAAACAGGTAGAAGAATCTTCCTGTACTAGAGTTGGTTACTAAGGGAACACTATTCTGATTGAATAAAAAGCCAGTCCCAGGAGTTTAAACCTGACAACAGTTTCAATAGCTTGCTGCCTCCGTTTTCATGTTCTGCCAGGAAAGAAGAGAGCAGAGCAGACACGAGGATGGGGCCAGGCCTTAGAGCAGAAGGCTCAGGAGGGAGAGGCTTCCAGGTCAGCTTGCAGTACCTCCAGTCTGCAGATGAGGAGTTGGGGGGAAGCATCCCAGAGCTTGTCAAAGCTCTCAGTATTTCCCAGGAGATTCCTGAAAATCCTGTTCTCTTAAGATAGTGGGGTCTGGAAACATGAAGCAATAGTGGATATAGTTGGAATTTAGACAGTAAGATGGAAGAAGGTGCTTGGCTATTTTTAGACTTTCTAAATGGTATCCTCAATCTAACCAGCAAATACCAAATGTCTGTTGTGTTCCAGGGTCTGTGGTACATATGAGAAAATGTCATTTTTCTAACTAAGATAGTCCATATGATGATTATTTCTTTAGTTTTTATTGAAACATTACTTAAAATAGAGAAGGAAAAGGTAGGTTTGGGGGTCAGGTCTCGCTTCCTACTTTCGACTAACTGTAGAAAGAGAAAAACATCCATCGTGTTGCTTGTAAGTAACTCATATTGCGAGTGTGTCATGTTGAGGACTATGTAAAGGGTTGGTCCTGAGAAATATGACCCACTAAGTCAGTGATGATAGCGATCTCATCACCATGTAGAAAGTTTGTTTTTGTTTCCTATCTTTCAGTGATTGTAGAAGGTAGGATGATCGGGTGGGAAGTTCTGTGAAAACTCCCAAGTGCTGCACAGATGTTGGCATCAATGTCAGACAGGGCTGAGGCTGTATTTCCTCGTCCCACTTCCAACTGGTGGGTGGAAGTTGGATCTCCCTGAGACTGGAAGCGCAGGTCCCCTTACAGCCTCAGGCGAATGGTTGAACTCCAGTGCTAGTTTCCTCACCTGTTACCTGGTAGCATTGGGACTTCAGTGAGATCACAGGATTCAGTCTCCAAACACAGTACATGGTATGTGGAATTTGCTTAACAAATACGAACTTTTATGTTATTTATAATTATATATTATTTGTAATTATTTTATTATTACGTCTTCTTCAATCTTCATGGCAGCTCCCCAGGGAATGGCAGGTATGGATAGTCCTATCACATTCTGCAGATAAGTGCATCAAATCTCAAAAAAATAATATGCCTGGGAAATAGTAGAGTGGGGGCTTGAGTTCAGGTTCCTTGACCTGCACTGGTTCAGCGATGCTGCCCCCCAGCAGTTACAGAGCAACAGCATTGTCTTTGTAGATTGTGGATGCTAATTGTTCACCTGGCTTAACTAGAACCTATACGAGTTGCCATCAACCCCTGCTTGTGTTTAGCTTGCAGAATTCTGGCTTGTCTATTTTTTCCCTTTCATTTCCCTCATCAGTGAGTTATAATAGATTGGAAAAAGAGAGAGTATTAGCCAGTGGTTCACAAACTTATGGTCTTAGGACCCCAATCTTCAAAATGATCAAGGGCAGGCAGCCCTGGTTTAGCACCACCTTCAGCCCAGGGCTGGATCCTGGAGACCCGGGATCAAGTCCCGCGTCGGGCTCCCTGCATGGATCCTGCTTATCCCTCGGCCTGTGTCTATGCCTGCTCTCTCTCTCTCTCTCTCTCTCTCTCTCTCTCTCTCATGAATAAATGAATATATAAAATCTTAAAAAAAATGATCAAGGGAACTGAAGAGTTCTTGTTAATGTGGACCATTTCTATCTATAATTAGTGTATTATAATTTAAAATTGAGGTATGTTAAAGTCACTTAATTCTTTTTGTTGCAATAAGCAGTTTGGTTGAGGTAGACAAAAAAATACAGCCTCACACAAGTCTATATATTGAGAAGAGAGAGGAGTATTTTAAGAATTCAGGTGATTATCACTGTTCTTTGATACTGTGTCGAAACTTGACAAGTGTTAATTTCTTTATAGTTAGTTTCTTTACAGCAATGTGAATCTGAAACCCTATGTGTGATAGGCTCACTTTATTCATTTTTGAGAAAATATTTGCCAGATTCCTGCATCTCAGTACCAGTTTGTCAGTCATTCTTTCAAGGAAAAAAATAGTGTCCCCTTAGAAAGCTGACAGACAAGGAGTGGGGGGCTCAGTCTGTTAAGAATCTGACTCTTGGTTTTGGCTTAGGTTATGATCTTAGGATCCTAAGGTCAGGCTCTACACTAACCACAGAGCCTGCATGAGATTCTCCTTCTCCCCCCTGCCCCCACTTACATATACTATTTCACTTTCTTCCTCTTTCTCTCCCTAAAAAAAGACAAAGGGAGGGGAAAAAAGCTGACCAACAAAATTAGCTATTTTAGCTTGCAACTGAAAATATTGCCCTAAGTGCTTTTTCTCAAGATAATCATCATATTTTGGTGTGCCCGAGAGTGCTTTGTGCATACTTCCTATTATATCAAACAGAAAGATATACTCAGGGATTGATATGTAAACAAGTCAGTAATTTTTACCATTTCATCATGGACATTTTTAAATGAAAATAGCCTCTTTTTTTTTCCACCTGCAAGAGCGAGACCATGAGAATACAATGACGTAGGTTGGTGTCAAGCAGTGCCTTGGTTCATATCAGAACACCAGTGATTTCACCTCCATTACTTTCGTCCTGTCAGTGCTAATATCTAATGGTGGAAAAGTCAGATAAAATCTCTTAGTATTATTATGAAAGTACTTCTGACCTTGGGGC